GCCTGGACAAATCCCGAATTCCCACCCGGTATGGGGGGATCAGTGCCTGGACAAATCCCGAATTCCCACCCGGTATGGGGGGATCAGTGCCTGGAGAAACCCCGAATTCCCGGGGTGACCACGCTGCCTACCGGGACGGACATAGGAGGAGGAGGAGGGGAGGGGGCGCCGCTGTCAGCGCTGGCAGAGGAGCGGGCACCGCCGCCTCCTCCCTGGGGACCGCTGCTGCTCCTCCCGGGCCGGGCAGGGCAGGGCTCGGTCCCCGCGGGTCCGGCCGGCTCCGGGGGCGCGGCCCCGCTCAGCTCGGGGCTCCAATGACMCCCCGGCTGCCCTGAGCTGCTCTGGGCACCGAGCTGCCGGAGATCGCGGCCGTTCAAAGGAGCTGCCCGATGGGACGCGGCTGCTCGGCTGCTCGGATCCTGGCCCGKATCCCAGCAGCCGCGGTGGGTTTCCGCTCCTTGGGAATGCTGAAATTCCGGCAGCCCCATTGTGAAAAGCCTCTTTGGAGCCTTTTCCCTTTGATTGTTTCCAAACATTCCCACCACGGGCTTTGGGTTAAATGAGGGTTTAGGGGAAATGGAGCTGCCCCAATGAGCAGATCCTGTGGGGTTTGCCCGCCGTGGGGTCGCTGAGAGATCTGTAGGACAGGGGATGGYGGGAGCACTCACGGGTGGCGTGGAAAACCCGCACTTTGTCCGCGTCCGTCTCGGCCACGTGCAGCAGCACCTGGCACTGGGYGAACACGGCGCTGGGGCCCTGCGTCCGCAGCAGCATCACCGACATGTCCTGCAGGTCTGCGGGGACACAGGGGACACGGACAGGGGGATGGACACGGGACAGCCACCCCAGAGCCCCCCCGGGGTGCCACCCTACCTGCCGGGCTCCGAATGGCCGCATGGCCGCTGTCCGGGCCCCCCGCACCGGGGCTGTCCCGGTCACAGTTGACCAACAGCACAGCCCCTTGTCCATCCGGCCCCCACGTCCACTTGGCCTGGAGGGGAAGCAGAGAGAGGGGATTGGAGCAGGATTCCCTCATCTCATCCTGATGCCGGGATCCACTGGGAGTGGAACCGAACAGCAGGGACACAGTGGAGCCGCTCCGGAACCGCCCCAGTGCCCAGCACCGCCCTCAACACAGCCCCAGTGCCCAGCACCGCCCTCAACACCACCCCAGTGTCCAGCACCGCTCCAGAACCGCCCAGTGTCCAGCCCCACTCTCACACTGCCCCACTGCCCAATGCCACTCTCACACCACCCCACTGCCCAACCCCGCTCTCACACCGCCACACTGCCCAGCTCTGGCTCCAGTCCCGTGGGGACCCTCTGGAGGAGATGTGACCTCCCCAGGGGGCTGGAAGTGCCCTCCAGCCACACCYGGACACGGCTGCGCTGCCCTGGGTGCTCAGGATGCCCCGATGGCCGCGGTGGATGAGCCCAGCCAGAGCTCCTGGGCACAGGTGAGTGCCCACAGGGAGTGTCCTGCTCTGCTAAACCCACTGAGAGGCACTGGAGTCCAAAATGGACACGGGAAAAAGAGAGGAAAGGGAGGGAAAGAAAAGGGGTGCAAAAGGGGAGAAAAGGGGGAGGAAAAGGGGAGAAAAAGAAGAGAAAGAGGGAAGGAAAATAAAGAAAAAGGGAAAAAGAAAAGAAAAAGGAGAGAAAAAGGGAAGGAAAAGGGAAGGAAAAGAAAAAGGAGAGAAA